CTGAGTCTGCGTTGTTTGATCTCCTCAACAATGCAGGATGAACTGCATGGTCTTGGCAATGGAACTTGAAGGTAGGTGATACGATGTAAAATGACGTCTCTCCTGCATCGACGATGAACGCCAGAGAGACGAGGATACCAATCAAGGTGACATGTTACACATAACTGGTAATGTCTACAACGGTTTCTCTCTCGCTTCATTTATATTCAGGAGGTATGTGGCTATACACAGATAGGACAGGGCTGGGTAAAAATGGCTACCCAGTACACTCAAGTATTTACAAGAACCTTATCACCAACCTACCTACGCAGGCAATGGAGTTTCCTAATTTTCCCTTCCCTTCTGATCTAAGAGGAAAATTTATTCCCTGGCAAAAGGTTATTTTTTTATTGATTTTGGCAATTGATTGTGTGCATATTAATTAGAAATAATTGTTCATGTGCTTAAATAGAATGAGGAGGATATAAATGGAGCATACTTGCAAATTATAATATTTTGACAGTATTATCATAAAAACCTCATTCAAACACATTTCGTGATACTTTACGTAGGTGCAAGACTACCTCTTTGCCTATGCTGACCACTTCAACCTTCGCAAACACGTCCACCTGAACACAGATGTGGCGTCTGTAAAACGCATCACCACAAAGCCTGTCTCATCAGGAGATGCCCACCAATCTCCCAACAGACCACAGTGGTTGGTGCGCACGACTGCCCTTCAGGGAGGAGGCAGCAAGGAGAAGGTGTTTGATGCTGTGCTAGTCTGCTCTGGACACCATAGTGTCCCTCACTATCCAGACATTCCTGGTCAGGAGAGCTTCAGCGGGATACAGCTGCACAGCCATGATTACCGCCATCCAGAACCTTATACAGGTGCGCTGCCTGTATTATTATAGATACGGCTTGCTGTTTCATTCTGTGAATAACGAATGCGATTATTTACCTAAAGGCTAAACAACGTTGTTGCGCTCACATGAAAGTACTGCGCCTTAATGTTTGCTGTTCAGGAATAGCATAGTGTCTCATTTTTACGAAACAGATAAGCGAGTGCTCGTAATTGGAGCCTATGCCTCTGCATTTGACATCATGAAAGATGTCTACTCCCACGCATCCGAGGTGATCATCACGCTGACCGAACTAGACGTTCTAGGCCTGGGTGAACAGTACAAGAAAGGGCTGCTACCACACAACGTGAGAACAACGCCATTCCCGCAGGCGATCAACGGTAGCGTGGTGACGTTCACCGACGGTGACACGCTCGAACCAGACGTGATTATTTTCTGCACCGGCTACGAGTATTCGTTCCCATTCCTCGACGCCTCGTGCGATGTCACCGTTAGCGAGGGTAAACGCATACAACCGTTATTCAAGCACATGATCCACAGCAGGTACCACACGCTCATGTTTATCGACATGGTTTATACACCCATCGAGTTTTCGATCGCATACCTCCAGGTTCCGTTTGCGTTCAAAATCCTCGATGGCTCACTGGCGCTCCCTAGCGAGGAAGAGATGAACCAGGAGACGGAAGCAGACTACCGCGATCGCATGGCCAGTGGT